TGTATTATTCCAATTTTAGTAACTGTGCTGCTAAAGTGAGCACAAAATCGCATATTCCTGTGGGAAGCTGCCTAGAGATCACAGTCTGACTGAAGTATAATTGTTATACAACAAATGTCCCCTATTTAAAGTACATAATTTGATAAGTTTTTTCTCTCTCTCTCTCTCACACACACCCCTCAGGAAATAATCACCACATTCAAGACAGTTAATGTATCTGTTGCCCCCCAATTTCCCTGGTGCCCTCATGTTTTCTTACATTTCTTCCCCAAATCAACCGTAACACGACCACGTCCTTCGATGTGGTTCATTCTTCATTCATTTTGCGAAGAATATGATAGGTGCTGCCTTAGATTACTTCTTCAGATATATATTTTAGATTTTAGTTTTATTTACCATGGCACTGTATATATCTAACCCAGCCCAATTACAGAAATCTTCACTCAGCAACAGATCAGGCCCTTCAGTGTCTCACAATATAATTGTTTTATGCTCTTAGCCAAGAGGACTGACTTTTCTTAAGGACTCAGGGTTTATCTCCTAATGACCTTGCCTAGTAGTGGGTAAAATACATAATGGACTTACTCAAATCATCCATTTCTCTAGGAAAATCAAATCTCATGTATGTGATCTTGCCATTTGCAGAACTGCAAACTTGTATTTCTCCTGACTTTTCTGTGTTTTAATTCTTTCCTTTTGTATTCATCTGAGTGATTCTTTAAAAGAGAATATTTTAATGAGAGTGAAAAGTGGAAAAGAAAGTCTCGTTAGGCACTGCCAGCTGTTTACTCTTCTTCTCTGAAACCTCCAAAATAAATATATTTTTAAAACCTTCCAGAACGTATTTTTTGGAAGGGTCATGGCTGGCTAAGCTTCCCTATTTGGGATAACAGATGTTAATTTGTTTACCAAGAATAAAGAAAAAAAATTAAGTACATTTTTTTCATAGAGTGACTTAGATGGAGGGTACAAGGATTTTTATTAATCCAAAAAGAGTTTTCATTTTATTTTTATTAGAATATTTTGCTCAAATATACAGGACATTTCAAAAAGAAAGCAAAAGGAATAGGTCAAGTATCTCCACTGAACCTAATGTTCTCTGTTTTATTTAATTAATTTCAAATCTTGGTGGGGGGAAGAAAAGAGCTATGACTTGAATTGGTTCAATGCATAGACCCTGGAACAAGATTGTCTTGGATACAATAACTACCCAGCCTGTTACTATCAGTGTGGCCTTGAGCAAATTACCTAACATCTCTGAGAGATGATTCTTCATCGTTAAAATGGAGATAACACCTACCTTACAATACTTATAACATTTATGTGAATTGTTATTTTGAGTATAAAAATGATGTCCCTTGAAACGAATGTTGGGCTTGATGTCATGATTCAAAAAGAAAGTCAAAGAGGTCACAGATTTGAGTTTGGTATTTAGATTTAAATATACTACTATTAAAATATGATTACATGGTTTACATTATTGTAAAATATTTTTATTAGTTTAAGACAAAGTGATAGCCTTAAAAATATTAGGATTATGTCAAAAACAGTTAACGACTATTTGGGAGAGAACATCACTTGAGATGTCCAAGAACATCAAATGAGAAAAAGAAAGCATATGTTCCTTGACCTCATTCTTTTGAATACTTGTTACTCAGGTACACTCTCAGACTTGTGGTCAGAAAACTGGGGTGGATCTGGATATATTTCCTTGCATATTTTAGCCCAGGGCATACATATAAAGGGCCTTCTGTAATCATCTGTTGACTAATTAAAGTGGTCATGTTTCCATGCTCCTTGATACTCAGTACCTGTGAACCCAGGTGTCCCTGTGTGAGTAGGTAAGAGGAGGGACCTTGATGGAGGATGTGGCCATAGCCATGAAAATGTGCTTGAGCTTGCTGCTTATTATCCTCAGATGCTCTATGCCTCTTTCAAGACTCTCCTCCAATAAATTAACATTTATTGAGTATTTAATGTGTATCTAGTATTACCTAATACTAGATGGTATTATGCACAATTAAAGAAATGAAGCATAAATAAGTTACAGATCATGAATAGACAACGGAGTCAGGATTTGAACTCAGAACATTCACAGCTAATCACTAAGCTACATGGCTTCCAGTACACTCCAGGCATCCAATTTCCATAGTTGTGCAGATCCTCTACAGAAGTTATTTTCTCCCATGATTTCTTAAAGCATTTATCAATAACATTTCCTCCCATTATGCCCTTCAAAACATCCTATTCTAAATCTCATTTCTTCATTTATTATGGAAATAAATTAACATATTAATTAACATTTCATATGAACTGTCACTATTAAAAGGATTCTAATCAGCTATAATGGACATAATAAAAATGTACAGGATTTGGTACCCAACTTTAAGAGTGAATTTCAGTTTCCTCACCATCTGTCTGCTCCACCCTGATTTGAAAGTCCTGGATGGGGTTTGGAGTGTCTGTGGCTCATTATTCTGGTTAGTAATATAAATCATATCCAAAATTCATAGATAAGCAAGTCCAAATGACTGTGAAAGTGAAATGTCGGCAGCAAGCAGGGTCAAGGAAGCACATGATGAAATAAATGGGGATTAAAAAGCAAGAGATGGGGCTGAGTATGGTAACTCACACCTGTAACTCTACTACTTTAAGAAGCAAGGTTGGAGGATTGCTTGAGGCCAGGAGTTTGAGACCAACCTGAGCAAGAATGTGACCCCATATCTAGAAAATTAGCCAGA